CGCATGCTTCGACAGGTTGGCGAAGCTCTAGCCCAACTCTCGGCCACGCAGGCGTTCCCACAAAGGAAGGGGAGCCCGAGGATTCGCCGCGGAAGCACCTCCCAAAAGGCAGGGGATGAAGGTCTCCTCTCTTTCCCATCCCAAACTTATCTTCCTTCTTTTCTTCCCGATCCACCCGTCTCCTCATTCTCGTGTTCCTCCTCCATATGTTGCCCGAAATCTCTCCAAACTGGTTCGGGGGGCACTTTGTCTCAGTGCTCTCGGGCCGTGTTGGTCTTTCACTTCGAACCAGCTTCAAATTTGTGCCTGCAAATGAAATAGCCTTCTGAATTCAGAAGACTGAGCCACATAACTCAGATGCATATCGCTCCCTGCCTCCTTCTCCCCCCTCTTCTGCGTCGTCGCCATCTCCTCTTAATTTTCTCTCTGCGCGTGCTACTTTCCGATGCGCCTGGAGCGCGACATCAAAGGATCAATTGCGCAAGCCTCTTGGCATGGCCCTGTGGAATGTAACGAGTTGGACGTGGCCTTGTCGCATGTCCCTCTCTGGTTGCGCAGGCGTTCTGTTCCCAGACTCCCGCCTCAAAATGCCGAATTGGCTCTGGCTCTATGGCGTGCCCATCTCGATGGCGTCGCTCATGGGCGTGGTCCTCGTCTCGCGTGAAAGCCGTGATCATTAAAGAATTACTGCGTGGCTTCATCGCTTCTTCTTCTTCTTCTCGCACTTTTTGCATTTCTTGTGATATCCGTTCTCATACTTTAAGGAGCCGTATGTGGCAACTCTGCTTCGCAATCAACGCGCGCTCGCATCCCCTTGGGCGATGTCTTCTTTTCCTCGGAGTTCATACATCTGCGTTTCGGCGCTCTGTTACCGTACCTCTCGAAGGCATCCATCGGCAAGTCGTCCTTGCAATCGTCGCGCCGTCTCGTCTCTGCGTTCTTCTCCGCCTTCTCGCACTTCCTGCATTTCGGTTTCTGGTGGTAGCTGCCGTATTGATCGAAGTCCACCTTGGGTACTTGATCTCTGCATCCAGGGCCATGCTTCGTGTCTCTCTTCGCTCCTGCCTCGCGCTCTCTGCATTTCTTCATCAGGTAACCATTCTCTGTCTGGTCGAAGTCCCCCTTCGGCAACCATCTCTTGCAGTTGCCCTCGCACTTCTGGTGCTCCTGCGGCTTGCGCGGGTCGCAGAGGTACATCTTCTCTCCAGCATCTCTAGCTTTCGGATTCGGTCGCTTCGCTCCGCAAAACATGCAAGGTGGGTATTTGTGGTCGTGGCACAGGTGCTCCCCCTTGACCAGCTCGGAGATGCCTTTGATGGCGTCCACTGGCCTGTTCTCCATTCCTATGTCCCTCGAGAGCTGCGCGCAGGGCGGGTGGGTGCACTCGTGGCACTTCTTGCGGGGAATCTGCCTGGCGTTCTTCCACGCGTCCTTCACCTCCGCCGCCTGAAACTCCCACAAGCATTTGGGCTTGCCGCATGTCGGCTTCGAGCACGTTCCGATGATATTGTCGGCGTCCGTTCTCTCTTTGGCCACGCACCGGGCGCACTTGGCCTCCGCCAAAGCGTTCTTGCTGCGCCAGGCTTGGAGCATGTCGTCCACGAAGTGGTAATCTGGCAGCATTTGCCCGCGGGCGCCGTGGCACTGCGTCATTTCTCTGTCGTCTTTTGGGGCTTGTACCCGAGACGCTCGTTGCAAGTGGCGCTGTCGCAGTTTTCCCAAGCTCGTTGCTTCGCTGTGTTGAAATTCTGACGCGGCAGCTCCCGCTCGCACGGTCCGTCGCAGCAGATGAGATGATCGGGCGGCTTGTACCGATCCTGTTCTCTCTTGCACTTTCTGCAAACCAAATCTGCTCCTCGACGAAGAACCCCTTGTTCGAGATATGCCTGGTCTCGACTGTAACTGAATGCTTTCATCTCCTTCCAGACATCGACGTCCTCGCCCCGCTCTTGTTTCTCTTGTTTCTCCTTCGCTGTCTGCTTTTCGGTGCAGATGTGGCACGGCAGTCTCATCGAGCTGAGCCAGTCGACCCGCTCCTCTTTCTCCTTCGCTGCTTTTCTGTCCTCTTCCTTCCACGCTGCCTTCACGCGCGCAGTCGTTGTGAGCTTCTTCTTCGTCAGGATGTCCAAAAAGAGCCGCGGGCCCAGAAGCATCCCCTGTCGGAACAGGTGCGGAGAATGCGGCTGCACGATGCGCATGTTCCCCGCCTCCTTCACCCTGCTCATGATGATGTAGTCGCGCAGCATCGCGTCTCTCTGGGTTTTGTCGTCCACGAAAGACAATCTCCGATGGCAGCGGCCAGTGTACTTCCGCAGTGCGCGTGCGCCGTGCCTCCGGAGTCGGGTACGACGGGGAACCCGTAGCGCTTAAGCTTTATGGCGTTTCCCGCCCCCAGGGACACGGGGCGCGCCTGCGTGATCAGCGTATCCGCCGCCCCTTGTCGATTCATCGCAGGGGTGACTGGCGTGCTAGACGATTTCGGGTTTGGGTTTTGGTTCTTTTTCCCAAAGAACTCCCCGTGGGGCTTCGACCTGCCCCGCCAGCCACCCGAAAGGCCTGCAATTCTCAATTTTTTTCGCTCACGATGGCCCAAGATGGTCTCCCAGATGGCCACGTTGGCCCAAGATGGCCTCCAAGATGGTCCAATCTGGCCTCCAACTCCGCCCAAGATGGCCCCAAGAGAGTTCAAGACGGCCGAAGACGGCCCAAGAGGCCCCCCAGAGGCCTCCAAGACGGCCCAAGAGGCCTCCAAGAGGTCCTCCAGGAGGACCTGAAGAGGCCAAAATCATTGATTTTCCTTAGGTTTTTTGACAGATATTCGCATTCGCTTCTTCTCGGCTTTCCGACGACCCAAGACGGTCCAAGAGGCCCTAAAGATCGCCCCCACAGCGCCCAAGATGCCTCCAAGATGGCCTCAGGACTGCCCAAGAGGCCCCAAGAGAGCGCAAAGACGACTCAAGAGGCTTTCAAGACGCCCAAAATGGCTTCCAACACGACCCTGGAGCATTCCAAGAGGGCCCCAAGTCCGCCCAGAAAGGCCACCCAAATGGCTTCCGACGGCGTCAGACGGGCCAGGGGCCCACCAAGATGGCCGAAGTTGGCTCGAAGCTGGCCCAAAACGGCCCAAGAGGCCTCCAAGAGGGCCTCCAGGAAGGCCAGAAAAAGGCAATACACACATGATGTTCCCTAGGTGTTCGAAGGATTTTGACATTTGCTTCGTTTCGGCCTTCCGACGGCCCGATACGGCCCAAGAGCCCCCAACGATCGCCCAAGAGGCCTCCAAGATGGCCCCAGAACGGCCCAAGAGGACCCCAAGACGGCCCCAAGAGGCCCCCAAGACGGCCAAGGAGGCTTTTAAGACGCCCAAGATGGCCTCCAAGACGACCCTGGAGCATTCCAAGAGGGCCCCAAGTCGGCTCAGAGAGGCCCCCCAAACGGCTTCCGACGGCGTCGGACGGGCCAGAGGCCCACCAAGACGGCCGAACATGGCCCTAAGATGGCCCAAGACGGCCCAAGAGGCCTCCAAGAGGGCCTCCAGAAAGGCCCGAAAAGGCCAAACTTAATGATTTCTCATGAATTGTTGAAAGATTGTGGTATTTGCTTTTTTTTCGGCCTTCCGACGGCCCGAAACGGCCCAAGTGCCCCCAAAGATCGCCCAAAAGGCCCAAGACGGCCCCAAGAGGCCCCCAAGACGGCCGAAGAAGCCTCCAAGACGCTCAAGATGGCCTCCAAGACGGCCCATAAGCCCTTCAAGACGTCCTCCAAGAGGGCCCGAACGGGTCAAAATGGCCTCCAGGCGGCCAAGATGCCCTTCAAGATGCCCACGTGTTCCCCGAAGGCTTTCCAAACCGATTCGGGGATGCTGTTCTTTTTTGTTGAAGAAGTAAAAACGCGATGGAGCATTTGTTATATTGTTTTCTTCTTCTTCTTCTTCTTACTATTATTAGTACTATTATTAATAATCTTATTATTATTATTATTACTACTACTTTCATTTCCATTTTCATCCTTTTATCTTTGAACAGCATTCTGGAGCAGAAGCGCGGCATGGCACGGCACGCGAACAGGGCCGTTCTCGCTGTCAAGAGCGCTGGCGCGGCACGGCACGGTGCGCGGGCGGCAGGTGTCTCGCGTCCTCGAGCGCGGGCGGCACGTCTCTCGCACTCTGGCACGGCGCGGCACGGCTCGGCGTGCGGGCACGGCGCGGCACGCGGGTGGCACACCTGAAGAACTGGAGCGCAGGCATTCCACAGCACAACGCGCTGGCGGTAACTTGTCCGCATTCTTAAACAAGTACTTGCGGCCTTCGCTGTTGAGTGGGAGAAGCAAACATGCGCTCTCCCTCCTCGCAGTCGTTTACCCCGTCCTCCGCGTGCTCCTCGAGCGTACCCCAGGCGGCGGTCCATGCTACTTATGCAGATGCCCTGGGCCGCCGCGCCTGAAGATGCACGGCCCTCAGCTGCGCTTGGCTGATCCCCTCGTGTAGCTCTGGGCGGGCAGGCGATGGGAGCACACGCACTTCCCCCCCGTGCTCCTCGTCGTGCTCCTTCTGGATACTGTGGTCGGCGTTTCGGGGGAGCGCTTCGATTTCGGCCAGATTTGGGGCACTGGGAGGGGCCCCAAACCCTCGTATTCCCCGCTTGCCCCCGCTAGCAACGCCGGCCGATAATGTACGCTCGCGCGCGTATGCTCCTTCCGTGGACTCGATTCTCGAACCTCGAGAGGGAGAAGCATTAGCTCCTCGATCTCTTTAAAGCGAAGCGCTGTCTAGAGCGCCTCGTACCCAGAGGTTCGATGTATTGTGTTGTTTCATACGGGCACGCCGTAACGTCGACCGTTTCCTCGAGGCTGGTTTTTCATCCTGAACCGTTTTTGAGTGTCCCGAGGTTCGGTGAGGGTCCCCAGAGGGTGACAATGCAGAGAAGAGTCCGTCGTTTTCGAATATGTACGTTCTAACGGTGGGCCATCGATCCTCAAGCCTCGAGGCCCCCCACCCCCGCGCCAGAAGCGGCGCCGCCAGTAGGAACACGGCCACGCCCAGCGACGCGCTGATCCTCGATGGTTCCTGGCGGCGAGGCCGGCGGTTCCGCATGGGGTGCGGGGGGGGGAGGGGTGGGGGCAGAAGGGGTTTGGAGAAGGGCGGGGGTAGGGATAGGGAGATGTGCAGAGTGAGGTGGAGGTGGAGGAGGAGGAGGAGGAGGAGGAGGAGGAGGAGGAGGAGGAGGAGGAGGAGGAGCAGGGAGCAGGGGAGGAGGGAGGAGGGAGGAAGAGGGAGGAGGGAGAGGGAGGGAGGAGGAGGAGGAGGGAGGAGGAGGGAGGAGGAGGGAGGAGGGGGGAGGGGGAGGGGGAGGAGGAGGAGGAGGAGGAGGAGGAGAGGAGGAGGAGAGGAGGAGGAGGAGGAGGAGAGGAGGAGGAGAGGAGAGGAGGAGGAGGACGAGGAGGAGAGGAAGGAGGAGGAGGAGGAGGAGTAGGAAGGGGGAGGACCACCCAAGGAGAAGGAGGAGGATGGAGGAGGGGGGGAGGAGGATGACAGAGGAGGAGGAGGAGGAGGAGGAGGAGGAGGAGGAGGAGGAGGAGGAGGATGAAGATGAAGATGAAGATGAAGATGAAAGTGATGATGATGATGATGATGATGATGATGATGATGATGATGATGATGATGATGATGATGATGATGATGATGATGATGATGCTGATGCTGATGATGCTGATGCTGATGCTGATGCTGATGATGCTGATGATGATGCAGATGATGAGGGGGAGGAAGAAGATAAGCTAGTGGGAGGATGATACGGGAGGGAGAGAGGAGGAGGTAGCGTGAGGAGAAGGGAAGAGGGAGGGAATACTCAAAGGAGGAGGAGGAACACCAGCAGGAGGACAAGCACGAGGATGACGATTAGGAGGATCGGAGGCAGCCAGGGAACCTTCCCAGGAGTGAGAAGGGTCCTGGGGGAGGCAGGTCCTCGACCCTGGGGCGTCTCCCAAGCTTGTCTGAAGAGGAGGGGGAGGATGAGCACGAGGAAGATTATCAAGGAGAAAGAGGATGCCCGAGGATGAGGATGACGAGGAGGAGGATGCCAAGGAAGATGATGAGCAGTAGGTGGAGGAGGAATATTCAACTCTTGTGTGTACACACAGCACAGAGCTCTGCGGGTCTCTGGAAGCCGCCAGCTTACGTGGCAGGCCTGCTTAGGCAAAGCTGGTGCACGCGGCGGGCTCTGGAAACCCTGAAGCCAAAATGCTGTCATCTCTTTTTGGGGCACATCTTTCGCTTCCGCCGGCTTCCGCTGGCGGAGCCGCCCTCGTTTCACCTCCGCCGCCTTCCGCCGAGGGACTCCTGCCCGCGCGCCTCTCGGGCGCTGGCGGCTGCATTGCGATCGAACGTCCACGCCTCCGTCGCTCTGCACAGCCCTGGGTTCTTCAAAAGGCCCCGTCGGAGGCCACCCGCCGCGCAGCTTGCGGGCCGCCTGCGGCGGTGGAGCAGGCATGGGCGGGGGGCCGGGAAAGCACCTACCGGGCGATGGTCCCCCGCGGAGGGGAACAAATGCGCCGACCCTTCGTCGTCGTCGTCGTCGTCGTCGTCGTCGTCGTCGTCGTCGTCGTCGTCGTCGTAGTCAGTCTCGAAGAAATTGAACAAAGAAATGGAGGAACGTCGTAATTAAGTCGAAGGGAAGCCCTTTTCCTTCGAGCTATTCCCTGCGGGGGGGTGTCCTGGTTCAGAATGCCGCCCTTTCTGTCGGTTCCGGCGGGTGCTGGGGGCGGGGTCGCCAGCAGGGTCCCAGGGGAGGTCCCGCCTTCAGGGTCAGTGGTACGGGCCGTCAGGCCTTCGCAATAATGACACGAACACATAAACATAAACTTTCGAACGTCCTCGGGGATTTCTCGCATCGGCGCTGGAGCCCTCCAGCGGCACCTCCGGCGCCGCCCCTGGCCCGCTCCGCGCGCCAGGGAGAAGGGTCCAGCGCCGATCTAAGAAATCAGCGCGTGCCTCCAACAAAATTAGGTTTATGCCATTATTCGTTCCTCGATGGAGAGGGGAGGGTGGCGCCATTGGTGTGTTCCCCCTACCGTGGGAAACATGTCTTGAAGGACCCTAGGGCTTTCCCCAATGGGCCAACTCATCACCCTGACTTGTTTTTGACGGCCGCCAGGCCCGGAAACGACGGGAAACCTCAAGGGCTCGGTTTCCCTCAGGACCCTTCATTGCGAAAAAGCTGGCATAAACATTTGGAGGCACGGGCGGCTTTCTTGGACCGGCGCTGGACCCCCTTCCCTGGCGCTACAGGGCGGGCGCGGCCGCAAGATATCATTGCAAGAAACCCAACCCAGAAACTCCGCGCGCGAGGTGCAATCTGGAGGGCACCCCGACGGAAATCACCCAGCTTCTTGATGCGCGTCCCAACTGTGGGGCGGGCCTCGACGGCTTGCCAGGGCCAGGCCCCTCTTTTCCCGAGCGGGTGACCGTCGACGCGGGCGGCAAAGACGCCAGCGGCATGACGGTCTCCAGTTGCACCGGTCCTCCGAGATATTTTTTCATCAATCGGCGGCCCGAGAGTTTTTGTTTTTTTCCCACAGGGCAGTTTTGCGTCCTGGATCTACTTGTGGTAGCCCTGGAGCCCGATAGCGAGCCCCAGAGGCTGGAACCGAGGAACAACGCCTGGACTGAACAACGAAGATTTCAGCCAGCGGGTGTCAAGTGGTCCAAGACAGTCAGACGCTGGTCAGCTGGCGGTGGGGTGCACAGGGAGCGGATTGCAGCACGAAGGCGAGAAGGAACAGAGCGCGAGAAGAGACAGAAAGGAGCCCGCTCAGACCGTGAGAGCCAGCGCGGGGATGCCGTAGATCTGTCGCCGGAGATCTGGGAGGCTGTCCAGAGCCACGACCTCGGAGGGCCTGCTCGGCGCGTCGGCGTGGGCGCCGCGGGGGGTCGCCGATGGATCGGCGATAGGTCCCTACTAGCGAATCCGCACGCTCCATGACGGGGTGAGCTATCGGGCTTCTACCGGCGATCAGTGGGCGATTAGGGGTCGATGCTCTCTTCCCTCAGCCTATCCCCTCCTATTACCGTCGCCGCTGAACCAGGATGGTAGCCATTACGACAGCGACGACGACGACGGCGGCGGCGGCGGACGCGACGACGACGTTCATGCTGGGGATTCGGGGCATTTCCCGGCGGCGAGGAGCGTCGTCCACGATCGACCGTGGGAGGCAAGCGCGCGGCTGGCTCCTGCGTCCGCACCGCCAGCAGGCGGCTGGCGTTCTCGCTGACGTCCTCGGCGTCGGCACGTCGTCGTCGTCGTCGTCGTGGATGAGGACGGGAAGATGTGTTTCCCAACCATCCTGTGGTGTTGGGTCCTCGTTTTGAAGAGACAGCGCCCCGCGTCTTCTCTCCTCTCCTCTCCTCCTCCCCCTGCCCCTCCTCCCTCCTCCCATGCGTGCCCCTGCCCTCCGCGTCCTCCTCTCCTTTCTCCCTCCTCCCATGCATGCCTCTGCCCTTCGCATGTCTATTTCGGCACACACCTCAGACGGTTCGTGGCCCCATATGGAGCTCCACCGAAGGCCTCAGTGGCAAAGTTCGCATGCGGTTCCCCGCCCATTTCGGCACACCCCTCACACGGTTCATAGGAAGCTCCACCGAAGGCCCCAGTGGCAGGGTTCGCATGCGGTTCCCCGCCCATTTCGGCATACCCCTCACACGGTTCGTGGCCCCATAGGGAGCTCCGCCGGAGGCCTCGGTGGCAAAGTTCGCATGCGGTTCCCCGTCCATTTCGGCACACCCCTCGCACGGTTCGTGGCCCCATAGGGAGCTTCACCGAAGGCCTGTGGCAGAGTTCGCATGGCGGCCCCGCCCGATTTCGAAACACCCCTCGCACGTTTTGTGGCCCCATAGGGCTCCACCGAAGGCCCCAATGGCAGGGTTCGCATGGCGGCCCCGCCCCATTTCGAAACACCCATCACACGTTTCGTGGCCCCACTGGGAGCTCCACCGAAGGCCCCAGTGGCAAAGTTCGCATGGCGGCCCCGCCTCCATTGCGTGCACATCCCTCACACGGTTCGTGGCCCCATGGCCCATGGGGGACTCCACCGAAGGGTCCAGTGGCAGGGTTCGCATCACCCCTCACACGTTTCGTGGCCCCATAGGGAGCTCCACTGCAGGCCTCGGTGGCAGGGTTCGCATGGCGGCGTCGCCTCCATTTCGGCACACCCCTCACACGCCTCGCGGCCCCGTATGGAGCTCCACCGAAGGCCTCAGTGGCAGGGTTAGTATGCCTTCCTCTGCTTATTTAGACACACCCCTCAGATGTTTCGTGGCCATAGGGAGCTCCGCTCCGCCGAAGGCCCCAATGACAGCGCCCGCATGCGTCCCCCAGCCTACTTCGGCACGCCCCGCACACGTTTCGGGGTTCCCATCGGTTCCCATCCGCGTTGCCCCGTGCTCCATCCCTCTCGCGGCGCGCTGCCTATGATGAGAAGGTCAAATCCTACGTTACTCGCAGCTGCATATGGTTGGACTCGCAGCTGCATGTGGTTGGGTCCTTCGCCAAGCAAATTAACTCTTTGGGCCATAACGTGCGTTATGCCCTCTACCCTCCGCCCGCTCCCCACCCCCCCGTGACGTAACGCTCCCCCCCTCAGTGCGTCCCTGGCACTGCCGCAGTGCGCCCCGCACCACAATCTGGCGGGGGGGGGGCGCTACGTTATGCCCCCCCCCACCCCCCCTCCCCCCCACAACGCCCGTGATGGCCGCGTGTGAAAAATGCGCTCCAAACGGGTGGGGGTGGGGGGGGGGGTGGCGAATCAGCTCGCGAAGCGGATCCTGGCGCCGGAGTCGCCGATTGGTCGAGGAGAGCGCCCGGCGGCGGGGCCGAAACGAGCTGCACGCAGAGCCCGCGCGCCCGGATGCCGAGAGGCGCCCCGTGGCCCTCGCTGCGGCACGCGTCGGTGCAGCGCGGCCAGGGGTCCGAGGGCTGCGCCGGCAGGGGGGCCAAGGGCCCCTGGGCGCCCAGGTGGAAGCCGAAGCTGGAAGCCCATTGCCCGTGGGCACGGGTGGGGATGTGCGGGCGAAGTGAGGGTGCAGGCGGAGGCCTCCAAGAAGGGGGTCCGAGTTGACTCCTGGACAGCTCCATGGAGAGCTAAAGGGGCTGTTAGGTAAGAAGCCGGCGGGCAGGGCCACGCCAGCCCCTCTCCAAGGCTCCCGGGCAGGAATCCCAGCAGCGATTCAAGTGAAAGGTCAGCGGGTCCCGAGAGCGTTTTCCTACTCGTTACCAAGACGCGTGCTGGAAGCCTTGCCGCAGCTCCTTCGAAGCTTCTGGGGAGCTCTTGCGAAGCTCCTTTCTCGAGCTTGCAAGCTCCCCCGGCATGCTTTGCAGCGTCCTTGCAAGCGTCTCCTACAGACCTTCCCGGATAGCTCCTTGGAGAGCCGTAGGGTTGTAGAATTAGAAGCCGGCACCGGAGGGTAGCCCTGGAGCTCGTTCCGGCTTCTGTGAGAACACCTTGGCGGGGCTTGCTTCGGCTTTTCACGGGTCCTGGAAGGCCTTTTTTCAGCGTTCGGGAATCTGCTGACCCGGGTCAATCCAGACCCGGGTCAGTCAGGCCTTGCAGAATCCTGCAAGATCCTGCGAGATCCTGCAAGATCCTGCGAGATCCTGCAAGATCCTGCGAGATCCTGACCCCCGTTTGCAGTGACCCCCCGCCTCAGGGCTCCCGACGCGTTTCCCAGGACGTCTCCCCGGAAGGCTCTCTGGAAGCTTCTCCGGAGGCCCCTTCCGGGAGCCGCCGGAGCTCCCTCGGGAGGCCCGCGGACGGCCTGCTGGTGCTCCGCGGTCCCGGCTTCGGACCACGCGGGCTTCACGCGCTTTGGACTGCGCGCTGCTCTTCGGGTTGTGGACCTTAGCAGGCCTCGGGAGCGGCAGGGCCGTTGTTTCACCGTTTCCGGACAGGTGTCTTGAAAATGGAGGCGGCAAAAAAATGGCTCCAAGATTGGAGCCAGAGCCGGAACCAGGAAAACAAGGGCGACGGAACTGGTAGAAAAACGGCGTCGGAACTGGCAACAAAAACGGCAAAACGGAACCAGTAACAACAACGGCCCTGTCGTTTCCAGGGCCCATTCAATTGTGGACGCTGCAAGTGGGGGCGGATGATGGCGCCGCATCGCGGATGCCTCGGCGATGCGCTGGCGACGCCAGCGTGGAGAACATCGGGCTCAACATCCCGCCGCATCGGCGACGCATTGGCGGTGCGGCGCGATCCTCCGACCCCATCTGGGAGGCCTAGAGGTAGGTCGGGCATGTCCCCCTACAGGGGGATTTTGGAGGAAAAATGAAGAATAGTCACAACATGCTCCCAAAATCATGGCAAATAGTCAAAGCATCGTCCCCAGACTATTTCTTTGACTATTCTCGAATACCACTCCTCCTGCGGAGGGACACGCCTGACGGAAGCCCAGAGCGAGGGCGCCCTCGGCAGGCTGCCCATCCCGACGGTGCGGTCTGGCCGCGTGCCCGCCCGCCCCTGCAGCCCCCGCCACGCCCGCTCCCGCCTCGCCACGCAGGCAGCGGGCTGCGCCTGCCGTCGAGACGCTGTCGTGAGGAACGAGGCCCCCCTTTCCTCTCCACGAGCAGAACTGCGACTTCCCATAGAAAGCCTAAGGTCTGGTCGGGCCTGTTCCCCTACAGGGGGACCTTGGGCGACAAATGCAAGGTACTCTCGCAAAAGTAACCACAAAGTGCTCAAACATAGTCAAACATCGTCCCCATCTTATTTTTGACTATTGTTGACTATCCCCCCTGTAGAGGGACAGGCCCGACTTAAGCCTAAGGAGCAATGAAGACAACCTGCAGCTCAGCTGAGGAACACTGAGGCCCTCCCCAATGAGAAGGGTTCCTCCTTCAGCGGCCCGACTGTGCCAGTGCCGTGGCTTCCAGTGCCCGAGGCCGTCTGCGCGCGCCCCTCACCCGCCGACTCTCTGCGACCGGGCCCCCGCCCCTGGAGGAACAGCCACAGGCAGAAACACATACACTCTCGGCGCTGCGCGCGGCCTCCTTGGATCGGCGCTGGCCCCCCCCCTCGCGGCGCTTCGGGCGCCGCCCCCGGGCACTTCTTTTCGGCGCCGCGCGCGGACTCCTTGGATCGGCGCTGGCCCCCCCCCTCGCGGCGATTCGGGCGCCGCCCCCGGGCAGTTCTTCTTCGAACCCCTCCTCCGCCTCGGCGGCCGCTCTCTGCTTCTCCACCCGCCCCAGGGCGCCCAGCGCTCGTGTCGGACACTCGGCAGTGCCGTCTCCCGGCTTGCCCGAGAGCGCGTGTGCGGACTTGCCCCTGCCGAGCTGCGACAGCAACATACGGCGCCCAGCGCCGAGAGCGTGCCGCCGGCCGTGAAGCCGCGCTCGCGTCCGCCAGCGCTGCCGGCAAAGAGCAAAGGTAGTCAGCGGGTCCTGAGGACACGGGGCCCTGCACCCTGGCCGGCCACACGCAGGAGCGACCCTCCGCAAGAGCGGCCTTTGGTGCGCGGCTTGCCGGCCGTTGCGTGCGGTGCGACGGTGGCGGCCTGTGTGCTTGGGCTTGGCCCTGCAGCGCCGCCCGAAAGCCGCGCACCAAAAGTCACTCTGGCGAAGGTTCACCCTGGCGTGCAGCTGGCCTGGGGCCTTCCCCCAGGACCAACTCTTCAGCCCATCGGCTTTGTGTATGGTCCTGGGGCCCAGGGAGGGCCCCAGGAGCCCCAAGGACAGCGAGAAACCTGAGTATCCGTGTCCCTCAGGGCCCCTTTCCTTTGCGGCGACTGCCCCCGCAACGCCCTCGAGGAGGACGACGAGGACGAGGACGAGGACGACGAGGACGATGACGATGCCGACGACGAGGACGGTGAGAACGGTGACGACGAGGACGAGGACGACGAGGACGACACCGACCAGGACGGCAGCGGCGCGGCCAGGGTCCGACGCGTTGTGCCGGGGCGCGCTGGAGTCCTGCGGTGGCCGCTCTGGACCAGGCGGGGAGGCGGCGCAGGCGACGGAGGACTGAGGACTTCGTTGTGGGGGCCGCGGTCGAGAGATTTCGCTCATCGGGGAAGAATAAGAAGCGGCAGAAACATAAACTGTCGGCGGCCCGAGCAGATTTTTCTGGATCGGCGCTGGGACCCCCTGGCAGCGCCTCTGGTGCCGCCCCTGGGGCGCTCTGCGCGCCAGGGAAGGGGTCCAGCGCAGATCCACGAAATCCGCGCGGACCGTCGGAAGTTTAGGTTTATGCCGTTGTTTCTTCTAGCTTAGCGTGTCGCGGCAGCAGCCCTGGCGACACGCCATGCCCTGGGAGCGGATAGCGTTGTCGCTCCGCTCAGTGGGGTGGGAGGTTTCGAAAGGCTCGGGCCGTTGACGTTCGGGTGCCGGGAAGTGGTCAGCGTGTCGTGCCGAAGCGTGGTGGGCCAGAACCGGCGGAGCGACACGCTGATCGGAAATTCCCGACCTCAGTCTGGGGGGTGGGGTGGGTGGGTGGGCGGAGGAAAGAGAGGAAGGAGGGGAGGACGGAGGGTCGGGGATTGGGGGGTTGGGGTGAGGATCGAGGATTCTGGGAACGGAGGAGCGAGAGGATCGAGGATTGGGAAAGGCAACTGATGGGCGAGGACAGAGGATAGAGGACTTTGGTATTGTTTCGTCGTCGTCGTCGTGTTAGTCGTCACCGTCGTCGTAGTTCTTCTTCTTCTTCTTCTTCGTCGTGTTCGCACGTCTGGTGGCGTCCTCGTGACTGCATCTCAAGTAGGACGCCTGTTTCCGGGGAGAGACGTGTCGCTGTTCAGAACCCAATTGCTACCACCATGTAGGAGGCATGGCATCCGGGCTTGGCCAAACCCAACGGGGGGAGGGAGTCAACCTGGGGTGCTGCTCGGTCCCGTGGGCGCCCACTTTGGTGGGACCTCGCGAGTGGAAGGCCCGTTTTCGGGGACAGAGGTCTCTGATAACCACACCGTTGCCACCGCGATGTAGGAGGCGCGTCGCTCGGGCCTTCCAATGGGAAGCCGACCGGGGGTGCGGCACGGGTCCGTTCGCGTCCAGATTGGTGGGACTTCTCATGCGAAACGCCTGTTTCGCTCCAGTAGACGAATTTTCAGAGCACCATGACCACCGCGATGTGGCAAGCATTACACGTGGGCCTCTCAAGAGCGGCCAAGGGGTATGACACGGGCTCGCTTGCGTCCAGATTGTGGGAACCTTCCAGGCGCCCAGATTGCAGGATCCCTTGCAAACGTCCAAGCTTACTCAAACTGCGATGCATTCACATTAGAGCCGGCTCATACCCAGAGCCACTCTGACGCAACCACGCATGCCCATGCTCACTCGTCCCCATGCCCATTCATATCCAGGCGCTCATGCGCAGACTCATTCGTACTCAACCACTTGAATCCAGACTCCGTCTTGATAACATGTAAATACCTAGAGAGACAGCGACAGAGAGAGAGAGAGAGAGACAGAGAGAAACGAGACCTGTCAATGTAACACGAGCAACAGCACGACGACCACATTGATGTACTCATGTGATCGAATGCTGGTGGCTCCCTGCATACAAACTTGCAAAATGCACGATGCACTACAATGATACGGGCAACTTGTACCATACATAATGAGACAGAGAAAGACACAGAGAGAGAAAAACATGAGAGAGCGAGAGAGGTATAGGAATACGTGTATATATATATACATATGAAAGAAAGAGAGAGAGAGAGAGAGAGAGAGAGAGAGAGAGAGAGAAAAAGAGAGAGAGAGAGAGAGAGAGAGAGAGAAGGAGAAGAGAGAGAGAGAGAGAGAGAGACACAGAGAGAGAGAGAGATAGTATGCTCAACGATTTGAGAAGGCACAGCAGCTGCAACATGTTTTTTGTTCGGAAGACCGTCCGAGGAGACAACAACAACAATGAAAACCGACAGAACCGACAAATAAATCGACACTGGCAGAAGCCGACAGGCCGAAGCAGCCTGGAAGGGCACGGCGACGCAGCAAAGCCACAACAACCGACCGAACCGAACCGACCGAACGCAGCGGACTGCGACGCGTAAGACCGATCGAACCTTTGGACGCCCGAAATGGGTATGGAACAAAATGGCCACACTGCCCAACAACAAATGTTGTCCCAAACCAACAGCGGCCACTGTTGGGCAGGCGGCCTTCTGTCTCAAATGGACACAGGCCGCGGCGGCGCGGACAGCGAGTCCTGTTCAAAACCAACAGGAACTGCTGTTGGGCATTGTACCCATTCTTTCCGTACCCATGTCCTTCGTGCCGGGAACCGCGGACACCCCTGCTTCGGAGGACTGCCCGGATCGCGTTGGGTCAGCGCTGAGCTCCCCTCCCCACATCGATGGCGGCGCCTGGCGCGCTCAGCACGCCAAAGAGGGGGAGTGTGGAGCGGACCCGCGCGGACTTTCGAAAGTCAATATTTTATGAAGTTTTTTGTACTCTTCTGATCAGGGTTGCATAAGCGAGGACTTTGGCACAGCCAAACGTTGGCGCGCTCGAGAAAGCTTCATTCGTTTGTCGAGACATCCTCAATTCTCCGTTTGCGCCAGCTGGACCTGGCAACACGCCCTAGTTTGCGATGTCCTGGCTTCTCGGGGGCCGTGGTCAACCAGGAAGCTGGAAACACAGATGTGGAACATTCGGAGGCCACGAGCTGGGTGCACATGTGAGAGCCCGAAATGCACGACGATTAAGGGGGCCGACGGCCGGAAAGACATCTGGCCATATGTGTTATCAACTCTCGTCCAGGCTGGCCGAGTCATGTGTATCTAATTTCCTGATAACTTCCAGCGCAGGCCGTCCGGATGTCTGTACATGTACTTCTGGTCCTCGTCCAGCAGCGGCTCCGCGAAATAGAACTTCTTGTCCTTGGCATCGCGCACAAACAGGCATGAGCAACCCCACGGGAGGGGAAGGCTTGTTTTTTTTGGGGGCGGGGGGATGAAGTTTCAGGGGCGCCGCAACTAAACACAACACTCTGTCAGAAATCAAAAACCACTTGACCCCCCCCTGAGAAAGAAACACCCAACCAAAATCACATTGGGAAGATGTTCGATGGGCTCCCCCAGGGATTCCAATAACAAACTCATGCAAACAACATTTCGTCAGAACCACCGAACTGTTTTCGTGTGGACCTCGTCGAACCTTCAAGGGGCCCTCTGGAAATCCTTCCAACAGGCGTACTGTTTTTATCTTATGTGTATATATACACACGTTGATATACATATACGTATACGTACATTCTTACTTTATGTATAGTTGTATATGCATACGTATAAATGTTTATATGCATATGTCCATGTGTATGTCTGTATGCATGTATGTATGTCTGTGTATATAAGATATAAACAACAAAACACATCCAACCCAGGACCCCCTTCAAACAGAAAGAACTGGAGTTTGTTTTGGCCCCTTCCCAAGACGTGTGTCAAGGTTTTTGCTTTCATGCGGACACTCGTTTTGGGCGGTCCCTGGTATTCCCTGGACCTTCATGCAACAAACTAAATCGAAGAGGTTTTGAAGGGTTGTCCCCCGGAGCACCCCTATCAAACATGTTTTTGTGGTGAGGCTGTTTGGAGGTTCACCCAGACTCCCTGGGACCCTCCCCGAATCCTCTTGAGAACTCAATTGGAATTTCCCCACATCAACCCCCTCTCAAGAAAATTCTTTTTGGGTCTTTCGGGTGGGGGTCCCCCGATCCCCCCATGACCCCCCCCAAACCCCACTGGATTATTCTGCTGGGGGAAGATTCACCCCGGAATCCCCGTCGATATTTTTGGTTTGAGGTTTTCGCAGGGTATCCCCCCCACCCGCAACTTCCTTGAGAAACATGTTTTTGGTTTTCCCCAGAACCCCCCTCACCACTGTTGCTGTTGTTTTTTTAGGAGGGTCCCCCGGATTCCATGGGATCGCCCTTTGAGCAACGTCCTTGAAGATTTGTTTTGGGAGGTTTTCTTCTCGGAATCCAATCGACATTGCTTTCAGTGGGAAGTTTTTGGGATGCTCAAACATTCAAACCTAGCGTCAAGACGGCGCACTGGCAGATAAAATGCTGCGCGTGCTGAATGGCCTGGGGAAGGGAAACAGCAGGAGGAGGAGGGAGGGGGGAGGAGGGGGGGCGGAGGCCGCCACAACAATTTAAGCCAGCGTTCTGGCAAAAGCGAATAGACACTAGAAGCGCGTTGCTGTATAGGTCTCCCTCGCTTTCTCTGTGCCCCGACGTCCTAATCAACTTTGTGCCGAGCTCACGTGTCAAACATTGAAGGAGATTCTCTTCATGGAGTGCCAGGATCTTCCAATGCGAAATCATTTCCTATCGCGGAGCGTTTCACTCACCTGCGGTTCCCGTTTACGCTCCAAAACTCTTTGTTATCATCTTGAACGCAGACGCGATCGGAATCGTGTTCTGTCCGCTTGGGGTGTCCAGATCGTTTCCAGCTTGTTCAGCAGATTGGGTGATACAGTTGCTTTGTGCAGCTGGATTCTCCGATTGCGGCAAGCACGGGCGTGCGACCAATTATTGAACAGATCCTTGCATAGACTAAGCTCCACCAGTTCTCCACGTGACCTCATGTTTTCGTGTGCATTTAACGTCCAAGAATCCTCCTGAAGTGCACTGCGTGCTCTACTACTTTCAGCAAGGCACCCGTGAAAGAAAACGCAACGCCAATGTTGTGTACCAACGTGCATGCAATTTCATTCCAATCCAGATCAAACCGTTTCTAACCCATACCTGGCGCCTTCGTCATTGACTGTGTTGGGTCGTCTTTGAAGTTACCCAAAGCCACTCCTGAATAGAATTTGTGGTCGGCGTATGTCAAACCAGAACAGACCAAATAGTTTGGCTCCCAGATCGTACAAAGTAGGCCAGCCGTCATGTTGCCGACGTCGAAGGACATGACACTTTGAAAGGTAATATCTAAATATGCTGATGATGGACATCCTTGTGCAATCCTTGCTGCTCTAAGTCGTTTGCTGGAGCTCACAAAAAGGTCCCGCAGCTGAGAGCTCCTGTGTTTGCACGTCGCCGCTGTCTTGTTCAACGTGTCGGGACGACGACCGAATCTGCGAAACGCGTCCAAAAGAGTGTCGTGCTTGCTGTGGTCGAGCGCTATAGACCAAGCCAATAATACTGCAACCAACTCTGGAGATTGACATGTCTCTGCAACCTCGGACACCCTCCGCGCAATTCTACACGCCTGGGAACTGTTGCCGCCCTGGTGGAAATTACATTGGGTTCAACGAGTCCTGTTTCTGGCCCCACCATTTTGAACTCCTGTCTGTGCGTAACATACATGCCAACATCTGGTGCTCAATGGACAGAAGCGAAATAGGCCTTCAATTCTCTGTCAAACGGGTGTTGCCCCTTTTGTGTAAAGTGCCAGGGTCGGAATACGCCATTATTCTGGGATGGTCTCTTCGCCCCAACGAACAAACATGGATAATTCCCCGCATGCCCCAAATTAAAAAACAATCGGACTCCTCCAATATCTGGAAATATGTCGCCTGTGCCACCTACTTTCCCAATGGCGAGGGCCCGGAGTGTATGTCGGAACTCTTCAATATCGAGACTTCCTGTGAGTCTGTGCAATGTCTCTTTTATGTTTGCCCGCCAACTAGATAGGAACCCGGCGTGTGTCACTTTCCATTTGACCTTGTCTGAATAACCTGCAATGTATCAACGCGTTGTGCACTTCCCAACAATATCCAATCATTGCCCCTGATTGTTGCGAATGTGTATGGGTTTCTTCGGGAATCCTTTCTTCGAGGGCCGCACAGCGGGCCATTTTCCACCGACCACTTGTGAATGCAACCATATCTGTTTGTCTCTCCGCACAGATGCCTTGATGAGTCTGGTGAAGTGTGCTCCACCAGTAAATCTCCCGCTGCTTGGAAACCACCTCTCTCGTTCAACAGGTCCATCGTGGCTTGGGACCATGTTTTATTATTTACGCCGAGTAGATACTTGCATTGTTGATATGTCCAACATGCAAATCGAGAGTATCATAATTTTCCGGCGCCGCCGTGGCCTCGCATACGCGGCGGCTGTGGCTTCCATCAGTCTTGTCGTCCACAATCAGCGTGTCCAAACGGTATTCGTTTATGCGGTGGTTCGTGCGGGTATTATCGAATGTAATGTCCGAGAGCATGCGTACTTGAAAATGCAGAGAAGCCAATGTAATTGATCGATCTGCCCACGTATTTGCGATTTTCCCTCATCGTACTTTGGTCAGCAGATCTAGCATTAATTTGAACAGCGCCTACTCCTATCGGACTCGTCCTGTCCACTTCCGTCCCTTCCTGCGTGTCAGCATTTTCTAACGGTTGTTCAAAGTATGTGCTTGCAATTGCAGTAGATGGTGCCTGGCAAGTTTCCAAGAACTACTTATTATTTGAATATGTTCTTTGTCGTGGACATCTGGTTTGAAAGATGAAATCGTCAACAGTATCTTCGTCTCTTTCCGGTCGTACAATCTCTCATGTCACCACATGCGACAGTAGTGGTGTGTTTATTGGCTGCCAGCCAAGCCCTTGTGAGCTGTTCGGAGAACTCGCGCCTGTATTCGTAATCGTGGCCTGCGAACGGCGCATAAGCGGAGATAAGAATGAATATGCCGCCCAGGATCTTGAGTTTCACGGTTGTAAGCCTGTCAGAAAACAGTTTGCAACTTATGACACATTTGACGGTCAAAGGCGCCATCAATGATCCCACTCCAGAGTGACATCGGCCTTATCCCTGTAGCTTCGACGGTCCAGATGATACAAGCATGTGGTCTGACTCGATGATTTCAGTGTGCGTTGTAATTTCGGTTTTTTGGATGCATAGAACTGCCATCTTGAGTTTCGCCATATAATGTTACAAGTCTGCACAACTTTAGCCATGTCTTTTCCCAAACCTTCTACGTTCCATGTCCCGATCGATTGTTGCAGGAGTGAGGTGCTACTACGTTTTGATGTGAATGCTCGCAGGGTGCTGTCAACCTTGGTACTGGTATTGCTCAACGGTTGATCCCCCAAATGTCTGTGTAGTGGCCGGTGGTGTTCTTCTTGGAGAAGAGGTCGCAGAAGAGGAATGGTAATTTTGCTCGTGCCCGCTCCTTGGCGTGAGCCTGGAAGAGGTTTACGTGAAAATGGTATAGCGGCATCTTTGCAGTATCCGGATCCACATCGAGTTCGACATGCTTTACTTTCAAATTGGAGCGCTTGCGGTGTCGACGTGCACATTGAGCCACAAGCGTTTTGGCCACGGGACGTGTGCTAAGAGGCTTCATGGCCGGCCACATCTCCTATTTCCGGGCGCTTCCCGTTGATATTTCTTTGGCTCCACCTTCGATGCCCATTGACGCCCTCTCCAAAAATAGCACCGTATTTTGCAATGATTCGAACAGCTTCGGGTCATTTTTCAATTCTGTCCATTATGCACAGCCCTTTTCCCAGGGACGTTCGTTGTTAGCACCACCTTTATTTACAGTGAAAGCTAAGTGCCCGCCCACTTCAACGGTATAAGATGCTTCATTGGAAACCTCGATCTTGTATGTATTCTCCATGTCTTCTACTAGTAATGGTACCGGCAAAAAGCCCCAATCATAATCTTTTTAGGGTTTTTAGGGATATAGGGCTATAGGGCTACAGGACCATAGGACCATAGGTCTATAGGGCTATAGGGATATAGGGCTATAGGCATAAAGGGCTGTAGGGCTATAGTGCTATAGGGCTACAGGGCTATAGGACTATAAGGCTATAGGGCTATCGGGCTATAGAGTGATTGGGCGATTGGGTTATAGGGCTATAGGACAATAAGGCGATTGGGCTATAGGGCTACATGTCTAGAGGGCTATAAACTTGTATGGCTTTCAGGCTATAGGGC